TTCGTCTCACTCCTCTCGATGGGACTCTTCTCTCTGATGCTACTCTTTATCGCCAGCTCGTCGGCAGTCTTGTCTATCTCACAGTAACTTGTCCTGACATTGCCTATGCTGTTCACCTTGTCAGTCAGTACATGTCGGCTCCTCGCACTCCCCACTATACTGCTCTACTCCGCATCCTTCGCTACCTCAAAGGCACTCTGTTCCATGGCCTTCACTTCTCTGCTTCCTCATCTCTTGAACTGCGTGCCTTTTCCGATGCTGATTGGGCTGGAGATCCTACGGATCGACGCTCCACCACGGGATTCTGCTTCTTCCTAGGGGATTCTCTTCTTGCGTGGCGTAGCAAAAAACAATCCGTCACTGCCCGCTCTAGCATCGAAGCGGAATACCGAGCTCTTGCTGATACTACTCAGGAACTTCTCTGCCTTCGCTGGCTCCTTGCTGATATGGGTGTTTCTTCTTCTGAGCCTACCCCTCTCTATTGTGACAATCAGAGTGCCATTCAGATTGCTCACAATGATGTTTTTCATGATCGCACCAAACATATTGAGATTGATTGTCATTTCATTCGCCAGCATGTTACCTGTGGTACTGTTCATCTTCTCCCTATTGCTTTCGTTGATCAACCCGCTGATATCTTCACTAAGGCTCATCCTCCTGGCCGCTTCAGTGATCTTGTTTCCAAACTCAACTTGGTTGATGCTTTCCCTCCTTGAGTTTGCGGGGGATGTTAGTGTACAATTGTAAAGTGTATAATTGTAATATTAATATTAGTGTATAGCTTTAATTATTAGCACTCTACTTTATTCTTTATGCTTTATTCTTTATGCTTTCGGTGAGCATCCAAAGCACCATAATTCTCTCTATAAAGAGAGTGCCTTCTCTTTGTAATACACACATAGTTTTGACAGACAAACAACAATTCATTCTCTCTCTCTCTCTCTCTCTCTCTCTATCCTCTCTCACTTTCTCAAACTATTATTTCATGGCAAAAGATAAACTAAGCTCAACTTCTCAACAAATTGCACAACAAACAATGGAATTACATGTTGTAAAAGAATTCTCAAGAAGTTGAAGGCATTGCCCTAGTGGTACAGGCATGTCCCGGGTTTGATCTTCATCCTCTACCTCAACCACTGTACTTTGCATCACCAAAAGAAAAACAAAAAGAATTCTCAAAAATCTAATCAGGAATTTAATCTGATCTGTGTCTCCTCTTCATGGAAGAAAATCAAACTGTGGTCAACAGTAACAATAAAATCAAAAGCAATTATAAAATAAATAAGTTTTTCAAAAGAAACCATCCACTTCTGAAATCTTCAGTTTCCTGCAATTATTCTCGAGTTCAAGCTATTAATGCTGCCAAAACAAATAAAAAACAGAACAATCACTTAACAAAACAAGTTTAAAAACAGTAAGTCTACTTATTTGCTTCTCTGTCTGGGAAATTTCTGGTAGACAAACCACAAACTTCCAGTAATAATTTTCTGGGGAAAACCCAAGAAGAGCATTGTTCAATGAGATTGCATTGTCTTAACTTTGACCAACTTTCCACACCTTCAACTTCAAAGCAAAAGGACTAATCTCGCTCTAGCGTTTCAACATTGACAGCTAATGGGGCCCATTTCTTTCTTCATTTAGCCACTGATAACGTCACACAGGTGTATCCACGCGTTTGAGTTTTTGCTTTCGAATTGCAACCCTTGAACCATCATTATCATCACTGCTAACTCAACCCAGTCAACTGAACTGCCGGGGCCTCTTGGTTTCTCGTAATGTTGGTTCTGACCTATCCAGCTCTTCAATGATAGATGCTAAGAAACGTTTCTTCTTTGCAACTAAGCATAAAACACAGAGAACAAATAATAAGCTGTTTTACGCTTTCTATCAACCTGATCAAAATAATATAAATAAAATGAATAGTAAGCAGAAATTACAGAAAGATAAGGAGTTCTAATCAAATTGAGAGGTTTATAGCCTATAATCCACGATAACTACGGCACCCGTTACTTGAGCACAAGAGCAATGAAAGCAGCATTCATGCTCTTCACAAAATCTCCTCTCAAAAAAGCATGCATCATTGCCATCAAAATAATGATTACATTTCCTCTAAATATATATATATATATATATATAAGAATGCATTTAAATAATTACATTAAAAAATGGAGCTACTCCATTTAAACTTAGGAATGAATCTAATGAGTTCATGATAGACTGTTACAAGAAATTCTCCACTTCCATGGGAAGATGAGGAGATATTTGCATACCTTTATAAACTGTCTCACCTAGGCTTACCTATGAAAAGAAGTGGGTGTAAGGAACGAATAGAACTTTCAATTTCATTGCAGAGTTTTAAATTTTATGTTTATCATCCCTCTACACATAGAATCATAATTTCAAGAAACAATGTTGAAGCAATCAAAGTTTTGCAAAAGAAAAATTCTAAGTACATTTCTGAAAAAATGGAACTTGAAATGGCTTGAAGCCAAAATTATATCCGATAGTTAATAGTCAGATTTAGAAAACTGTTTCTTCTTGTACTGTATTATTCAACACAACGTTTTTAGAACATCCAAAATTATTAATGGAAATACATGCATAATAGTAGAAATTTAATCAACTATACCTGAAGAAAATCCACTGCCTTTTGAGCTATCTCCAGAAATTGCCGAACACCCTAGGAGGATTGATTTTGGCAAGCTTTCATCTCCCTGTTTATTTTCTTTAATGGCATCATTGGCCATAGTTTCAAGTTCTGATACATCCGCAATCACCTTGGGAACCACTTGTAGCAACCGTGACTGTTCTGATGGCTTCTGAGGCAGCTGTCTTTTCTCCATGTATTCAAAGAACGTAGAAAACCATGTAGGTTAAGGGGCACATTAACATTTTACTGCAAATATTGTCACCTCACAGATGCTAAACAATTTATTTGTGCGTATATGAGCATTAATTTACATTCTCATGTGGATGACCCCCATTTTTTTGATTTACGATTTATCTATCCCATTGAATTCGGGGAGTAAAAATTAATACATATCTTTTAGCAGTTTAAGTCTGAAACCATAAATCAATACAAGGTGTCAATTCAAATTGGATGTATAAGTCCACAAACGACGAAGCATGGACACCTTTTTGAAGGTCACATACCAGTGTCGCAGACACATTTTGGACACGCTGGGGGCACGTTGGGACACCATGCATCCCCTTTTGGACACGCGTTGGACACACTAGGGACACCTCGTGTCTCATTTTTTATAAAATATTATGGTTTGACTTAATTTAATTTGTTTATTTTAACTGAAATGGCATATCCAAGGTTATGAATTTGATGAGAATAAATATTTGATGTAGAATAAGTATATAATATTAAAAAAGGAGACATATTAAATATATAAAATTATATGTTTTACATATGTCCCCAACATGTTGTGTCTTGCATTTTTTGAAATTTTGTGTCATGTCACGAGTCTGTGCCTATGATTGTTAGTCAACAAATCAAAGAGTTTTAGCTTCTGCTCCTGCATACTAAAATCATAAATCAAATGAAATCTTAGGTTGTGGGTATTAACAAAAGAATAGTTGAGATTGTTCAGCAGTAATCCCCTTAATTTAGTGACGTGTGTGGTTGTTGCTGTACAAGCTATCATAGCCTCTTGGCAAATGCTAGTATACTGAATCTTCACTCACAAAACACTTATAAAAAAGGATATTCCCTTCTCCATCCTTTCTCATTTGCTCGATCAATGAGGTTTCTCAGTAAATTCAGCTCTCTAGCAATCCACTGACAATTTTCAATGTAAAGAAAGGTAAGCAGAAAAATAAAAAGCAAGCAACAGATGACAAATAAGCAGGTAAACCATAACCCCTTTTTTTTTTCTTCAACAATTGGGTAAACAGGTAAACCAGACTAATCCCAAGACCCATGCCTCCTTACTGTAACCTTATTCAGATCAATCCATAAATTTTCGGTAAAACAAACAGGCACAAGGAAATGAGATAAAAAGAAAGGGATCTACTTGACATGCATAACAAAATGGGATGATTACCATTTATTGAGATAATCGGCATCCTAAGGGTAGAACTTGAGTGCAACTAATTATTCAATAGAAGGAATGGTAGGACACATTGGCCAAGAGAAAGCACAGGACCACCAATTTATGATGACACACTGCAGTAAGTTTCTAAACAAAAGACATAACACATAATTTGTAATACATATAATGTTATAGGAAATGTTTGTGTTTTTCAATAATTCATTTCATAACCAACAAAAGCAAACAGTTTCACTCTTACATACATACACACTAACAAACAATGTTGGATAGCTTGATATACATGGTTGGGTCCATTTCGTAATAGCTTAAGCTTTTGAAAAAATTGGTGACTTGACAGGGTATCTGAGCTCAGGTTGGGAGAGGCCTTGGGTTCAAGCCTCTCTGTTTGCATTGTTTCTTCTTTCTATGTATGATATGTATTGATGTTTGCATCTCCACGTGCAAGACGGGATTGCACGTGAGGGAGGCTATTGGATAGCTTGATAAACACTGTTGGCCCATGTCTTCACAACTTGAGCTTTTGTGACAATTGGTGACTAAACAAACAGATCCACACAGAGTCATAGACAAACACAAAGGATGCGCTAAAATGCAATGATTTGGTAGGATATACAGTGAGCACATGCTGAACTTCAACTCAAGAAGTCCTAAGAAGCAGACTAATAAACACAGAAGAAACCCAGAAGCTTTCGTGACCGGACATATTTGGCCTTTTTTCCATTTTATTTTTGTTCGTTTTTGCTCACTCATATTATTTGCTCTCAAGATTGATGGAAGTTAAATTCTAGACTGCACAACTCACAGATTGTTCTATGGAAAAGCACAAAATAAATGAATAATGTACGTTTACAAATAATAGTGGAGCAGAAGTTCATACATGCTTTGTTATATCTTCGTGCAGACTTCTGGCCTTCAGTTCAATGTCCACCAGTCAGATAAAATGTTTCAATCAGACAGTTTAAATAAACTTTCAATCAGAATATTTAACATTGATTAGCTAAATAAACAGAGAGAAATGTAAGGAGCAGCAGCAAAGTTTGTCTACATAATCCTGGATTGTGACACAAAATAAGTTCAAAATTTGTTTTTAACATTGTAACATAGTGATTCCATTTAGTTAAGATATAATATAATAACCAACTTAAAATACTTGGTGAAAGAATAAAAATGCCGTAACATGAGATGATCAATACACAAACACAAGTGCAGATTGCTTTCTTCTTAAGGCCAGTTGTCTGCTACAGGATCCTTATATATTGAGAATATATATATATATATATATTGATCAGCAACAAAAGAAACCTTTTTTTTTTTTTTTTGGATAAATAAGATAACATTTATTAAGAAAGCATCAAAATGATGCAAAGAATACCAAGCCGCTCAAACAGCGAATGGAAGAGAAAGCGCACTACCTCCTAATTAAGAATATCCTCTAAAAAATCTAGAAAAACAAACAAATCCGGATCAAACTTCTGTTCCAACCAACTATACAAAACTATAAGGAGACGACTCTCAAGCCATGAAACGCTATGATGAACATCTTGAAAAGTTCGCCTATTACGTTCCATCCAAACTAGCCACATCAAACAAAGCGGCACCAAAGACCACACTCGCCGCCACTGCCGACGACCAACTCGAACGCCACACCAACTCCACAGCATATCCATCCCCCGCCATGGCTGAACCCAAGCAATTCCAAAAAGAGAGCAAATAAGACGCCATAAACGACTCGCCACAGAACAATGCAAAAACAAATGATTCACGAACTCTCCATCCACACAACACATACAGCAGCGATTTACTAAATTATGACCTCGCCACACCAAGTTATCAATCGTAAGATTCCGGCCTAAGGCCGCCGTCCCCATGAAGAAGGCCACCTTGGAAGGAACCCTTGGCACCCAGATGCTCTGCCAAGGAAAATCTTTCCTCACCACCCCCACCAAACTTTTGTAGTAGGACAAAACAGAAAAACTCCCCTTGGCTCCCACCGCATTCCACCCCAAAACATCCAACCCTTGCCCAGTCACGCCCAACCCATACAAATAACCCCATAACCGTAGCAATTGATCAACCTTCCAATCCTGAATCGGTCAGCGCAACTGAATATCCCATACCACCACATCCCCACCCCCCAAATAAGATGCCACCATAGCTTCCTGACCCCCGCCAGGGCAAAAATCAATGGAAAACGATCTGCCAACAAAGCCTCATCACACCATCTATCCTTCCAGAAGTGCACCCTCATCCCGTCACCCACCCAAAGCCCCACCCTCTCCCAAAACTCCACCCTCCCCAACCAAATTCTTTTCCATAAACCACAACCATGAGAACTAATCACATTCCCTGACCCCCAACCCCCTCTCTCCAGGACATACTTACCAGCCACCATCCGTCTCCATAGCTATTCCGGCTCCCAAGCAAAGTGCCATAGCCATTTCCCCAACAAAGCTCTATTAAAAGTCACCAACCTCCGAACCCCCACAGCCCAGCCTCTTTTGGTTGACATACCTGGCCCCAATCCACCAAATGATATCTAAAGTCAACCCCCCAACTACCCCACAAGAAATCCCTTTGAAGCTGTTCCATCCGTGGCGCCACCGATACCGGAATAACAAGCAAAGACATGAAATATGTTGGCATGCTACTCAACACACTCTTGATCAAAGTCAACCGACCACCTTTCGAAAGATATTGCCTCTTCTACCCAACCAACCGGCGTTGAATCCGCGCCACAACTCCTTCCTACACCCCTGACACCTTAAACGTTGACCCCAAAGGAAGGCCCAAATAAGTTGTTGGAAGGGCCAACACCTGGCAGTCCAACGCCGCCGCCAACACTAGAAGACTCTCTATCTGACCCACCGGGATCAACTCTGATTTCCTAAAGTTAACCCGAAGACCTAAAACAACCTCAAAGCATAACAAGACACATCGCAAATACCTTACTTGCTCCGCCCTTGCCCCACAAAAGATCAAAGCATCATCAGCATACAGCAAATGGGAAACACAAATAGGCGCCCCCGTAAGCGATCCTACCAAAAAACCATCTAGCAAACCTTCATGAATGGCCCTATCTAACAGTCTACTCAAAGCCCCCATCACTAAAATGAGCAGTAAAGGCAATAAAGGATCCCCTTGACGGAGACCTCGATGTGTCGGAAAAAAACCCGCCGGCGAGCCATTAACCAAAACAGACATCCTGATAGTAGAAATACAAAACAGGATCCACTGGCACCAAGTCTCTCCAAAACCCACGCGACCCAGAACATACGACAGAAACTCCCACCGGACATTATCGTAAACCTTTTCAATGTCCAATTTACAAAGCAAACCTGGAAGGTCCTGTCGAATCTGGGAATCCACACACTCATTGAACACCAACACTGCATCCAGAATCTGGCAACCTCCCACAAAAGCATTTTGAGATTCAGACACAACATTTGTAGGACCCCACGAAGCCTATTTGCCAAAACTTTAGCCACAAGCCTATTACAGATAAGAAAAGGTACAAAGAGAGGACAAGACGTCCTCTTCAAATGACTTAATATTGAGAATATTTTTCAATAGCAACAATATTCAATAGTCATATAAGCAATTTATGAAGCCAACCCACAAAAGGCAGGGTAAGGCTGAAAAGATAACCCAATGAAGTACAATGATATAGCAAATGCCTACACAACAAGGGGCAGGAGTGCAGCAAATCAGTCATCATTTGGTACAGGCAAAACTGTAAACTGATGGGTAGAGGAACTCTAGATTAAGAAAATCTGAACTGTAGAGGAATGGCTTATTTGCAAGTTGCATGAAAATAAGTTCAGATTTAGGGCTAGACAAAAATAATAATCAATCAGTCTTGCCACAGTTTGTTGCATATTTTCTATATCAAATGGGTGTAATTGCCAGGAACACTTGCCCTGCATTTTTATCATTAAGACCTAATAAAAAAAGTAGGTGATGGTTCAAATTCTGCAAAAACAGCCTTACTTTTCCAGTTCAGTCAAGTTGAAAGAAATTACAAGTATCCAAGAAGGATGGGAAGCATTCGGGGACAGAGAAAGCAGATTATAAAGACTCAATAGTTCCGCCGCTTCATTTGACTGGATCCTCAGAAAATTAAAATGCAAACTACATTTTGTTTTTAAATTAGTTTTTCTGACGGTAAAAAAAATTAAAAGAAAAAGGAAGATTTTTTTTTGCTCCTCTCCATTAATTCCTCTTCTAATCGGATTCACTTATAATAACAATATTTATGACACTGATCCCTTTATCAATATAATTAAAGAAGTTTTACTTTTCCAATGAATAAAAGAAAAAAGAATAAAAAAAGTAGGAAGAACTTACTATAGTAGGCTTTTTCAGTAACCCATCTTTCACTTTTTGACTCAAATCTTCACATTCTTCCTGTAAAAGAAAAAAGCAACTACTGTAATGATAGAAATGATAAACTACTAATGGTATGTTGAACTATTCAAAAAATTTAACTTCCGATTAATGTTTTCCCATCTAAACTAAAGTAGGACTTTGGGATGAGTAGTACAGGAAATAATAAGAATTTATTGGGGACAAGTATAAACATTATAGTAAGGAGTGAAAATTTCAAGAACAAACTGTGGCAGTAGGAAAAATTGCTAGAAATAGATGCACAAGTCACTATACCTCATAATTCACTAAATACTAAAAAATAAAATAAAAAAATAAAAATTCAATACATTTTCATATTTCTTCATATTTATTGATTTTTTTAAAGATTTACTCACAAATATTTAAAAACAGTATTAAAAATTCAAAAACTGTGTATGAAAACTCAAAACCAAATATAATCTGCATTAACAAGGAGAATCTGGTCACTATACCTCATATATGGAGTCCACATTTGATTTATTGCGAGTTAAATTTGTAAGGTCAATTTTGTTAATATTATATAATAACCTATCCTATTATAATATGTTATTCATATGTTAGTGTATAATATTATATAATAGGTTATTATAATATGTTAGCATTATAATAGATTAGCGATTGCTTGCTTTCATCATTAGTGTTTCCTTTCTGTAAGCCTTTCGGCCACTTTCGGTAAGCTGCTCCTCAATGGCTCCTCCAAATTATGTAACCTCTCCTCTATATAAAGGAGTTAACAACACAAATACAAAATATATAATAAAAGAGATACACAATTTCTCTCTACAATTTATTCTCTTTTTATCAATTTATCTTCTATCAATTTATCTTTCAAATTTGATCACAGATAAACCTCACAGTTTTGGCTACTCTAAGCAGAATAATGTGGCAGGAATGTCCAAATGATTGTAACGAGTGTATGTGCATATTGGAGGGTTATTGCCATATATGCATTTTGAGTTCAAGAAAAATAGTCCACAATGTATCTGTGGAACCCAAAAAGAACTTTCAATAAAGACCATGGAAATTAGAAGATTATTATTGCCATGCTTCAGTTTGATGGAAGTTTGCATTTTCATTCCATTAGTCAAAGCTAAGAGGGGTGCCTAAACCAAAACAAAACTTGTCATTCCAATCCATACAATACAAAAATACTACGTTTAAAATGTCACAAACTATAAATAGCATGCATTATCATTGATGCAGGGAAGCGTGTGGAATGAACACTTATACAGAGAAAACCAAGAACAAAATAAAAAAGATACTCTCTCTTCCAAATTGTATTATTAATTGACAAAAGTTTATTTTCCCTAAGGCTTACAAAGACATTTATACTAAATTATTTATTGCTAGTCAAGAATATTAAAAAGGAAAATATTAATTCTTATAGAATAAGAAATACATAAAATAAGAAAACTAAATTAATACAAAATACGTATTAATTCTTGCATATTCTATACTAACCAAAATATTTCTAATTAACTACTAATTCTAAAATAACAAAATATCGATCTCTTCAAATCTCATCTCCATCATTGCATCAGTATCCTCCATGATTATTAGCGCTAGGAATTGGGAACCATGGTTGTCCATTATTCATGTTAGTCGTATACTGACTGAAATCAGAACCGTATTACAGGAGTATGCTCCATTTGAATTCAACAATAAAACTTTAATTAAGGTAATGGATGGATAGAAAGAAGAAAGGGATAAAACGTGCTTCTAGAATGCGATCCATCACTGAAATACTGTGTCACAGTGAAGAAGAAGAAAAGAAAAGAGGAGAAGAAAGGGAACAAGAAGTAGAAAACAAATAGGAAATAAAGAATGAAAAAGAAAAGCCACTGAAAATACTTCCACACAATATTGTTGCCTCAGAGAAGAAAACATCTGAAAGCATGCTGATGCAAATGTCTTTGACATATTTGAAACCTGGAGGAGAATCTGTGTATTGTTATCCCCCTTAGATATCTTCTTGATGCCTGGGTGCATACAAAATGGTAACAGTACGAAAACAATCAAAAGTTTAATGATAAAGAAAATGTGTGTAGAAAACAATAGGTTTCCTGGGCGTTGGAATCATTCACATATTGATGAAGAATTGGTTAGGTTTCTGAGAACTCTAGGATAAAGTCATCAAATAAACGAATTAAGGGAAATCTGACAATTCAAAACACAACATCAAACATTTAACTTTGACATGTTTTAGTGCAATCTACGAGATCATTCCAAAAGATTACATGGACTCTACACCCATCAGATTCTGAACACACTGTATTCTCTCAAAATACATAAATTAACATGAATGGAGTAACTGGATTGGGTCGTAGATTCTACTAGAGTATGGTTCCTGATATCAATTTCATTCCTTTATATTTAGCTTCCTGCAAAATCAGTACTTGTTCAGATTTCACTTCACTTCTTTTCACTTGTAACTTCAAAACTTTAACCAACTTCTTTTCACTTGCCACTTGAAGACTCCATCAAATAAATTCTACACATAGGTTCATCTAGAAGTCATTCCTCAAAGTTGTTTGGATATAAAAACTAAGTAAAATGGTATACAGTCCTCTTCCAGCATCTAAAGTACTGAAACAAAAAGCATAAATTGAGTTACTTTTGCTTCTTTCTGTTGTGCAAGTTGCGACATGTTCTTTACTTTTTTAAAACGTATTGCTTGGGTTTTGATGGATTGATAAGTCTATCTTTCAGAGAGTTCTATTATTGATATCATAGCACAACTAGTTAGAGCACTGAATGGCCTGCTATTGTGATAAATTTATGCAAGTCAAATATGAACTAATACATTGCAATAACAAAATAGCACAACTAGTTAGAAAGCACTGAATACTAAACAGTCACAACTGCCATGAAGGAGATGACCATACTGTTAAGAGGGAAATAACACTGTCCTTTTAAAAAAATATTACTTTATGGTCATGCAGTTTGTTAACTCATCAAGACAAACCTGTAACTTGCACAAGCTGATGGGAATTTCTCTGAAAGGAGTCATTAGGGTCTAATTTAACTCTGACAAAGCTTCCTATTAATTTGTTTTCAAAGGTTTTAGGTTGCTTCAGTAGCTCCTGCACTAGGCTCCTCTTCAGGTAGACAAGCTTGATGTTTTCAGAAACAATGGAAGCAAAACAGCTCTGTGGAGCATTGATCACTACCTCCTTTTCCAGGGATTTCCTATTTGTAATTAACTCTCTCTGTTTTTTACAGGCCACCATGACATTCTTATCCTCAGCTTCTGAACTGAGTCCTAGTTCGTCCTCATCTGATGACTCAAGGTTCTCAATAAAATGGGGTTGGAGGAGGTCACACATTTGATTTCTGTATACTGTTTTCTGCCCCAAAACAGACTTCAGTCTTTCATCGCATAAAATCTTCCTCCTATTGTCGGGGCAAAAAAGCTTGTGTTCATTGATGTATTCTTTAATGATAGAAGACACATCATATTGTGACATTTTTGTACTTGTGTCTTTCACCAAGTGACGCAAGAAACTCCATGAGTGATTTTGATCCCCAACCAATAAAATCTCTTTTTCATCACAACTCCCTTCCCATTGGATTTTACCGCCCTTTTCATCACAACTCCCTTCCCTTTGGACTTTACCTCCCTTTTCATCACAGCTCCCTTCCCTTTGGATTTTACCACCCTTTTCATCACAACTCCCTTCCCTTTGGACTTTGCCTCCCTTTTCATCACAACTCCCTTCCCTTTCTCCCTTCCCGTTGGATTTTACCACCCTTTTCATCACAACTCCCTTCCCTTCTGACATTCTAATCTTCCCTCTCCTGCAATGCAATAAACATAGAGTCAGTGAAGAGATTGAGAAACAAAGCTCAAGTTCGGTTTACAAAACACCTCACAAAGACAAGAAAAAAGAAGAAGGAATTAACAGAATAAAAAAGAAGTGATACAAAAATAGTATTCGTTACCAAAATCCTACATCAAAATTCTTCTTTTTCCAATATCACTTGAAAAATCTCCAAGAAAAGATGGTAGAATAAAGAATACAAGAGCAACATAGACAATATTAATGCAGTTGAACCATGAAGTCCAACGTATGTGGAGGAGCCAAATTCACTATTTTTCTCAACTAAAATTCATAAAATAGAGACAGTGATGTCAAGTTGATCACACTTTGTGTGCCAAACGTTGAATATTGATGATATTGTATTGACTGGGAATGATGTAGAGGAGATGGAGAAATGAAGGACTTGGCTAAGGAGTTTGAAGTACTTCTTGGGTGTTGAGGTTGCTCAATCTAGATATGGTATTTTCATCTCTCAACATAAGTTGTTCTAGATCTTCTTAAGGAGACTAAGATGTTGGGATGTGAACTTCCTAACACTCCCAATGAATAGAGTCATCAACTTGGTGATAGTGGAAGTGATATGTGTCCTTCGTAATTGTAGTTAGATTTGTCAGTTTATGCACTCACCTTGTGAGATTCATATAAATGTCGTGTAAAGGGATTTTGCAGTATTTGAAGTCACACCTGGTAGGAGAATATTATTTTCCAAACATAATGACTTACAAATAGAAGGCTGTACTAAAGTGCATTAGGCTGGATTTATTACAGACAAGATATCTATTTCAGGGTTCTGCACCTTTGAAAGCGGTAATCTTGTGGCATGGCGCAAGAAGAGGCTATCTATGGTTGCCACGTCAAGTGTGCAGGCAGAATTTAGAGCTATGGCTCATGAGATATGTGAATTGTTGTGGTAGAAGTCAATTTTTGAAAGAATAAGATTTTGATCAGAAAGGCCCTATGAATGACTGTAAAGCTACTATTGATATAGTTCATAATTTTGTTGTTGCTGATTCAAAAAAATATATATAGTTCATAATCTAGTTCACTATGATAGAACTAAACATGAGAAAGTTGACAGACATTTCATCAAAGAAAAGTTAAATGATGGTATTATTTATACTATGTTTATCAAATTTGAGGATCAACTTAGAAATATTTTGCCTAAAGGAGTGGGTAGTACTTAGTAGCAGGAATTCTCAAAAAGGGTGAAGCATAGTTGCATGAAGCAGGAGTGGGAGCAAGAGCACAGAAGCATGGGCACATAGAAGTTTGTTAAGTTGGGAAGGCCTCGCGGAGCACTTATGTATTTTATATACATAAATATATAACATAAAATAATTTAAACATAATTTATTTTTTTCATTTTTTTGTGGCTTTATTCAAATATATTTTTTAGATTGGCACTAGGGTGTCCGGATCAAAGCCCGACTAATCTCCAGGGGTACACAGTCCCTCGGCAAGGAGTTTCCCGCAAGTGCACTACGGTTAATTCAAGGTTTTTTTCCCTATCCGATGGCCCCAAGGAATTGTTAACACCCAAGAGGTTTCGATCCCTGAATCTTGGAGGGAGCACACCCCCAAGACCCAAGGCCTTGTCACTAGGCCAACCCCTTGGGGTTGGCTTTATTCAAATATATCAAAGTTCATTATTCTATTTATATAATGTGTTCTTTTTTTTAGTGGACTTTGATTTCTATACAATTGGTTTCCAATAATCTTTGGATTTGTAAGGTATAACCAATTATAGGGCCAATGATGAAGCCCAATGAACTTTTAAATGAAGCCCATGACACAAGACTAGGTCAAAATAAAAATAAAATAAAATAACAAGATAAAAAAAGAAGCAAATAAAGCGATGATGCTCTCTCATCTTCACTCTCATTGAAGACAATGGTTGCTTCGACTCTTCTCTCTCGATCCGTCCCTCTCGTTTCACATCGTCTTATTCGATAGGTATGTCTTGTTCTACCCAAATCTGATTTCTTAAAAAAATCAGATCCATGTTTTGTTTCAGATCCATGCCCAAATATACTTCAGATCTATACCCACCGATCCCATCTTAGATAGAAATGCGATTCTCTCCCCACAAAAACACATTTCTTACACGTTTCTTTGAAAGACATTTCTAAAAAAAAAGCCCCTGATTGCTTGATCCCTGCTACTAAGGGTGAAGTTTCTACCCTAGAAATGCAATTCTGCGATTCAAAGAAAGAAACATGATTCAAATTGAGAAGAGACCAGTCAAACCAAGGATTATAAACTTTTTTTCTTTTTGACTAAAATGACTGATAAAACAGTGACAACAAGAGATTATTTGGTATAAAAAGAAGGGGGAAACAATAAAATAGAGAAGAAAGACTGAAAGAGAAAGATTCATAGAAGAAAACCTGGTTGTGATTGGATTAGTGGTCTCAGATTTTGAAGATTGCTTGAATTCGCTGCATTGTTGGGTCTTCAGATCTGAACCACCTCCTCTATTCTTCAATCTTTCTGATGGGGACCAAGAAAGAAAGAAAAGGAAAGGAAAGGAAAGGAATGAAGGCGTAAGAGGCGTCAGGTTATTGGCTTCTTCAAGATATGATTGGGTAGGTGTATTTGGGCTTTTGGGTTGCTGTGAGGAGTTGAGCTGGTAGGTTTTTTTATTTTATTTTTATTTTTCATTAGATTGGGCTGAGTTAATGGGTCGAGGTTTATAAATATGGGTCGGGTTTAGGGTTATAAGGAATGGGTTGGTCCTTAGGGGTTCAGGTTATACACTGTATAATCCTTTCACTTCTTTACACTGGTTTTCTCCTTCACTATTGAAGGAATAACTATGATGGTGACGATGATATTCAGAGTCAACTGTTAGAAGACAAGGCGGTGGCAGCAACCAATGAACTGACTGGGTTTCGCTGCGACATTGATAAATAACGCAGTGGAGGTCACGATGAGAAGAGATGCAAGGAAACAATGCTGTCCACAAAGGAGTTTGCAAAGGCAATAGTCAGCAGCGCAATGGCGAGGTGGTGAAGGTTTCTGGTGGCTGGTTCAGGATTGTAGAAGAGGCAGCGAAGGTGTGACTTGATGGTGACGGATCACAAGTTTGCTCTGATACCAAAATGGCGTAGAACCAAGAACTCAAACGGCACAACCCACCCTAGATTTTCTCAGAAAATCATGCTCTCTCAAAATCAATTATTATTCATTCAAAGATGAAATTTATGTTCCACAATCTCCACATGTATATAAGACTAACAAGATTATTAAAACAGAACGAGAAAAAAATTAATTCAGAAACAAAATCTCCTAAAAATTCTAGGGTTCCACATGACATCTCTTACTCCTATAATAAGTCTTCATTTCTTTCCTTTCTTACGGCAAAACCCTAGTCATAGGTAGAAAGATGCCTCTCATTTATCGAGATTTATATTTTTCTCGAAGAGTCTATTATGACTCTTTTCTATTTGACATAAAATGTGTATTTATTGGCTACATCTTGTATATAGGCAAAAATTCACTCTTCTCACTATTTTTCATTTAATGAAGTTACTCTCTCGCTAAAAAGTTAGTTTCTAATTTTATTTAATTTAAATAATGTATTTATTGTTTGATTGGTTGTTTACATATTTACTTAGAAACATACATATATTTTTTGATGACTGGATGTTTAAGCCAGCTTACGCGCACCTTGACTAATCTCAAGACCTGTGCAAAGCGTGACCCTAAGGAGTTGATAGCGCCTAAAGGAAATTGAACTTGAAACTTGGAGGAAGCACACCCTCAAGCCCCAGGCTACACCTGCAAGGCCAACCCCTTGGGGTTTACCTAAAAATATATATATACTTATAACAAACAAGATAAATAGTTTCACCCTCTTAAAAGCTTAAACTAATATTTATTAAAAAATACATTAAAAAAATATTTACTAAAAGCTCAATATTATCCATATTTTAAGAAATATATCAAAACATACACACAAATAAATAAATAAATAAGTAAAAAAAGTTTTATGTTATAAATGAATTTATATTATATATAAGATACATAAACGCTCCCAAACCCTCCCCTGCTTCATTCAACTAAGGTCTAGTATGTTGTTTTATCATGCTCTTAACTTATATTCAGCTTTACTTTGTTGGGCATTCACAATATCTTTGCCCTATTTTGAGGGGGAATGTTGGTTATGTATTAGTCAAGAGGTTAGTTTTGTAATCTCCCATATGTAAGTATAAATACAAGGACTTAAGGGAAATAACCCTAGTGTGCTCATAGTCTCCTATTTTCTTATAACGTTATCTATCTTCTATCTTCGCTATTTTCACACTTCCATTATTAATGTAACCTTTCGTCAATTCTACTTACAATACAAAATAAGTATGAGAAAAATAAGGCCTTATTTGGGATGATAGATTTTTAGCCAAAAAGTCAAAAAGTCACTATAAATTGTCACATCACTTTTTCTACTTTTTTATACATCTTTTCGTAAAAAGTTCAAAAACTAATTAAAATAACCAATTCTCAAACGAGCCCTAAAATTAGTAACAAATTGTTAGCTAAAACCAAAATTGGCATCACCATGCTAATGCACATTACCATGAGAAGATCTTATGGCCAGCTTTTTAAGTACATAAATGTAAGGGTAAATTACACCGACACTCCCTGCGGTTTCTGTTTAATACAGATCTTCTCTCACATTTGAAAAATTATACTTACCCCCTATCAGATTAAAATGACATATTTGCCCCTTAACCTTTATACTTATAAAATAATGCAAATATTTTGCTCATGTCATTTCAAAAGAAATAACAATCATCTTCTTTGGTTTAACTCATGCAAAAAATTGAATTTTTTTATTTTTCATTTTTCATTTTTTATTTTTACTGATTTTTTTTAATATTTTTAACTTTTTTTAAAAAAAAATTTTAGATACACCTAATCTAGATATACTTAAGAAGTATAATATTTTGTGTGTGTGTGTGTGTGTGTGTGTGTTTTTTTTTTAATTCAATAAATACAAAAATATATATATATACAAAAATTCAATACATTATCTTATTTTGTTGTATTCAATGATTTTTTTTTAAAATTTTTTGTACAAATTTTATACTTTTTAAATATATCTAGATTAAATGGATCTAATCTAGATGTAATGATAGAAACAAAAATGAAAAATTATATTCATATATAAAAATTTATACAAAAAATATCATAAAAAGGGCAAGATGGTTATTTTGAAAATTTTAGGGCATGACATCAGCAATCCAGGGGGTAATTTGTAATGAGATTACAAACTTCAGGGAGGGGAATGTAATTTTTCAAATGTGAAAGAAGAATCTGTATTAAACAGAAACCTCAGGAGGTGTCAGTGTAATTTACCCTAAATGTAAAAATCAAATTTTATAAAATCTTAAATACATATTACATGAATTTTGTCTGAACAATTACAAGAATGGCCCTATTGCCATAGCAAATATTGTTAGGTCAAGTGTGAGAATAACTAAACATGACATTAAATATGGTTGGGTTCAATGGTACCCAACCATATTTGCTTTGTCAAATGTTTTAGCACTGTAAGCTAATAGTGATAATTGCCACTAAAATAATTATATCTTTTCATAAATAAAGTGTGATTAAAAATAGTCGATCTATATTAAAAAAAAAAATGTGATTAAAAATAAATTTGTACGCTTAATATGCGTGGGTTCATTTCCTAACACCTTATGCTTTTGAGACAATTCAACATAGTATCAAAGCTCTAATTCCAAGAGGTTTGGGGTTCTAGTTTTGTCACCCTCGTTATTTTTGTCATTGTGCACCTATGTTATATGGACTTGGGTACAATTGAATACGAGTGCATGTCCAAATGTCAAACCTTTATAAATTTAAATATTAAGATATTGGGATATGTATCCAAAATAGGATACGGGTATGGAGAATTGTTATGGACACACATATATATTACATGCTATATAATTTTTTATTTATTTATTGTTTTGATATGTAGGGTATTCTCGGCCGACTTACGGAAGTCCGTACAATCCGAACAAGCTTTCTGAAACAGGTTTATCCCCTATGGTCTATAACCCCAAGAGTTTTGCTGACGAAGGGAGTCGAACCTGAGACCTTAGAGGGAGCAAACCCCAAGTCCTAGGCCTCATTCACCATGCCAAACCCTTGGGGTTATTACATACATAGTTGTCAAATCGAGATTCGAATCATGAATCGAAATAGCCTCATACCGAATTGCGAATCGAATTGAATCGAATCATGAATCGTAAAGATTCGGTCACTTTTTCTAAGTTACTTATAAAAATATATCTACACCCTTGGATGTTAAATATATTTTATGAATATGACATGTTTAGACTTAAATCAATAAAAATGTTGTTTTGGATTATGGTCACATAGTTTAATAAGTAATAAGTTAACAAAGGTTCCTATGTAAAATCACCATCTTACCTTTTTCTTTTTTTAGATATTTCTTATTAACCATTCTTAATAAAAATAATAAGTACAGACAAAGTCTCAATTTTCAAAGTAACAATAATTTAACAACAATATTGATATTTAGACAATAAGCATACATATTTTTCCAAGTAACAATGACCAAATAATAGAATTATTTAGGATCTTTTATTTTAAAGCCTAAAATATTTTAAAAGGTATAATTGATCTCACTTATGTAATATTCAACTATATTTAATTTAATACAATAGAAATAGATAATTTCTTGTGTAAGTTACTTTAATCTTAAAGAAAATATATTATGATTTTTTAAGCAAACAAATGAGAAGGTTAAAAACATGTTGGGTCTGACTGAATCTGATTAGATCATATTAAAAACTCCATGATCACTAAAATAACAACAAATCATGCATATGTATTACTTATTTTGGTACTAAACGCCATTAGAAGTTGTATCATGTCATTTTTACCAAAAAGATGAAGAAAAAAATAGTTAAAAATATGTTGGACATGATCGTTTCAAGAATTGCATAAATAGTAAAAAGTGAATCGAATCATGAATCAAAGACTCACTATAGATTCACTTCCAAAAGAGATTCACCCATAGATTTGTATCGATTTTGCAAAAACTATTAATCGAATCACGAATCGTAAGATTCTGATAATAGAGATTACATATTATATAATATTATAAGATAAGATGTTGTAAATTATGTAAAAATGTACTTAAAAATTGAATAACGTTTAGAAAAAAAGGGGGATTTTTATCTCTTACCTATATTAGAAGTTATAAATGTTTCTTTTTTAATAAATGTGAGCTTATTCTCAAGGTTATAAATAACGGTGGCGGTTACTATAACGGTAATGGCAACGTTGACGCGGTTGCGAGGTGTTACAGCCATATGGTGGCGATAACCGAAACCGTGAATTTTTTAATTCTTTGCACAACTTTAGAAAAACATACCAAGATACTATTGTTTAAAATGATTTTTAGAATTTTTTGTTTAGTTTTAAAACATGATCTAATATATATACTAATTTCTATATTAGTTTTAAGTAGCTACTATTGTTAGATTTATTTAATTTTCTTTGATTTACTAATTATATTTATGGATAACTTTCAATTTATTAAGAAAAACAATGAAGTATGTTTAATATTAAAAATAATAGTCTCATAAACATAAGTTCAAAATAAAAAATGTCAACATAATAATGTAAAAGTATATAACATGAAATCTAAATTTTGTTCAATAAATTTAACAAAAGGGAAATAGATATAAATTAATATTCAAATATAATTATGTGAAAAAGTATAAAAATCTTGTAGAACTTGAAGATTGGACATTCAAAACATTTATAAATTTTTTTTTGGGGTTACAACGGAAAAAAAAAACATGTATAAATTTTTACTGGAGTTCTATGTAAAAAAAAGAGAAAATAGCATTACATACAAAAATTGAAAAAATAAATATAAAAATAGAAGCGTACCAATCGTAACGGCCGTAACGGTGCTGTAGCGACAATATAACGGCCGTTATGGCCTTTACATAATGGTGGTTGCCATTACGGTGGTGAATTTCACACCGCTATAACGTTCGTAACGGGTGGTTGTAACCACTACAACTGTTATGTAACGCCATTACGTAATGGTTGCATCCACTTTTTAAAAAGGGTCTAAATTAGGTACGAGTGTTGGACACAAATTACACTCCCTTATCCTTGTCATATCCAGTGGACACAGATACTTTGCAAGAAATAGAAGAGTCCATGTAACATAGTAATTCCATTGTGCACTCAATTCTACTTGCACACCATGTTCTCTCAATCTATTGTTAGTCCATGTGCGAGACAAAGTTGCACATGCAAGGGAGTGCTAATTTGATATACATTGTTAGACTCATTTCCTAACAACTTAATCTTTTGAAACAATTCAACCAAATCATCAATATATTTCAAGGAACAATATTTAGGTAAGAAATTTAGCTAATAAACAGACTGGACTTGGTGTGAATTGGGTTTCTCCAAAATCTCATTCAGTAAAAGATAAAGAAAGACTGAAATCTTAGTTTGAAACCAAATACAAAATATAAAATCTTTCTGCTATTACACGTACATATTACTATACCAAAATATCATCTATATTAAGACTAATCTGAATATGAAGCAATAAATCTAAATTTCATGAATGGATCTAAATCAAAAAAATTATGTTAAGACATAATTTATAGAAAGACTTTTTTATCAGCCATAGTAGGACTCTTTAGTAGCCCTAATAATTATTATTTTGTATTATACAATTTATGTCATTGCTATTCTTTTAAGTTTTAATGCTTACAAAAGCAAAATTTATGTTGTCATGTTGAGCAACCTAAGCACTTCAAATAAAGAAACTATTTTCATATGTTGTACCTACATTTGAAAAAAGCATGCTGCCCAATGACTAGAAGAAATTAAGACTATAAATCTCATTAACAGGCATATCATTCTTAGTAATGTAATTTCATTCCTAATCTTGCATTCCTATCATTGTAACAGAGACTAAAAATTGATAATATATTCATAATGCTAAATAGAGTTATATGTTCCATCTAATGTATCATGAGTTGAGCAAAGCAGCTAACCTTTTGAAAAATAGTATGTCGTAGAGATTTCCGTCAAGGGGTTTCTTTCTTCACAACAAAGAGATAGTCTCAAACCAAATAAAAGAACCTACTAATAATGAAAGAAATCATTTTGCAACGCAAAGGAAAATTAACAGAATTTCAAGAATGTAATTTGCAAGTCTTCTTAGATAGTATCATACCCCATCAGAGTCGACATCCATATTCTCTTCCCGAAGTAGTGCAAATTTTAAGTAGTATTACAGAACCCTTTGTTCCTTCTAACACGTGCAAACTCTGCAGTAGCGATGCAGTGCTGGCACACAGCTTTTAGACAGCAAAAGCAATGGAATTTTGAACTCTTACAGCAAATGAAGCAAGAATGCCACTCTGAAATAGAAAACGGGATTCACTTGGCATACTCTTACAATTTTTTATCCAACACAACGAAAATAAGATAAGAAACTAAGAACATAAAAACGAAGAGCAGAATTTTGGATACTCTGAACTCTCAATGTGTGCACAGACTAATAAAACTCGCAATAGAGGTGATACTCGCATTGAGTCATCAGCAGACTCTGGATCATAAATTAAGCATGTTAAACATTATTTAAATCCATTGCAAAACAAGTATTACTTGTCAATTTCAATTATTATAAAATTCTATAACATATTTAATTGATCACAGATAAAGGGCAAACAGGGTTTTCATAAACATTCAGTACTTTTTCTTTCTTTTTTTTTCCTGACCAAGTTATATGGAAGATAGGAAACTTTAAGATCATCCAAAAAACGTAATTGAAATACATCTTGGCATTGTATGTTAACTGATGAGTCTTTAGATTTCATCCATGCCACACACATAGCAATTGGTTCCATGCTTTTACTTAAAAAATGGAGATTTCATAAAAAACAAGAAAACAATAATAATAATGTAATGTCATAGAAAAAAAGAAAATCAAATCACACATAAATGAGTGACTTACTGCAAGTCCAGCTGTTTCCAGACTCAACAAATGACTCATCTTTCACCACACACTCAACATGATAAGCTTCTAGACAATCCCTGAAAATCAGAACATTTGACAATTAGACATGATAAAATTAATTCCATGACAAGAGTAGAAAAGATTTCATTATAATAAAAGCCATCAACAAAGCTTATAGCAATGATAACACTCATTGTTTTTACTATGTTGAACAAATTACACCCATTGTTCAAATTTTGAAATCACTTCTTTGTTTTTTTGAAATAAAAAACTTACTAATAAGATGAAATTGATAGTTTAAGGAGAGAAAAAAAATAAAAATAAAAACTAGGGTTTCGGTAGTAACACACTTACCGACGAACCCAGTGCTGATCTAGGTTATCCAGATTCCAGAATCCAGCGCAACCCACGAGATCTCTGGTTAGGGTTTAGATTAATAAGAGAGAGGGTTTGAGATCGAAAAAGTAGAGAATCCTAGGGTTTCGATCTTGGGAGTGGCGGGCATATCATGAATTTGACTAGTAAATTGGACTGATGGGTTTATCAAGAAATTTGATCCATTTTGGTATACTTTGAATGGCTTTCAAGTAGATTACAGAGTAGTTTTCAATTCTGAGAATTTGAATCGAGTTCATCGGCAATGTGGAGCTTGATCGCATTACATTGTTTGTGTAGAAGAAGAGATTACTAATCAACAGTTTCGCCGTGATTTTTAATGAAATCCAATTCTGCATTTTCTGAGGGGTAGCTTCAGCATACATATCAAGTGAGCAAAGCGGTTGTGCTATATCCCGATATATTCTTATTTTTTTTATATAATATATATAGTGACTAAAGACGCAGTGTAAATAATATTAAGATTAAAATATAATTATAAAAATATATTTAACAGACTATACTCTACATTCCAAACAAATTAAATATCAAATAATACATATCAGCCAATATTCTACAATTTAAAAGAAATTAAAATTAAAATACACACCAGTTATTGCTATTGGTGCCAATAAAATTAAACTACATAAAAAAAAATATACACCAAAAGAGTGGGTTAAAATTTTATAAAAAAGTGAAAAAATACCAAATAGAAATATACTAAACAGAGAAAACTACATAATCATTCTGTTCTGAAGAGGTTGTTTTCGAATTGGGTAAGAGAGAGAGAGTAGAAGAATCTCAGATAAGCTCATCATTTAATTTTTTATTTTTTAGAGAAACAAAAAAAGAGAGTAGTTTTTGGATATAGAAATGGTAGAGACTAAGAAATTAACTACAGAAAATATAACGCACACATCTATTCTATCATTGAACAAAATTGTTTTCATCTCCAAATGCAAGATGCCTACTTTTTGCAGAGTATTGTTGTGTGATTACCAATTTTTATACCAAATTTATATATCATTTTGACATGTAATCACATAATTAGTACATCAGACCACACCTTACATGCATTAAAATACACATATGCATGACATATAGGATGCCTCCTCAGATGATAAAGGGCAATTAGTTCAAAAGGTTGAAACTGAATTGGCTGACAAAAAGTAAAAATCAATAAATAAAGTAAAATCCCAATCAACAAATCCAATTTCTAAGAGACTGGGAAATTATAATTGAACCTACTACAACTGTATAGGCATAACTTGAAAATGGAGCCTAATAGCAAGAGGAACAATACATTATTTAACTGTATAGTATAGAGATAAACAACACATTATTTAAATCAAGTGATACAAATTAAAAAATTAGCAATTCAAACCAAAAACAGGTTCTAAAAAATTAGCAGTTTACCCCAAAAAACTAAATTGTAAATTTTGGTGCTGATCCACCACTCCTATCATTAGTATCTAATCTCATTTCTAATAGAGATGGGAAGTAAAAAAGAGAGCAATGCGGAATGTGTTGCAGCTAAAAGATTTTCTTCTCAACTCTGCTGGAAATAGAAAGGGATCTCTCCATTCTTCAAGCTTTAAGTAAATAAAGATTATATCTGCTTGCAGTGTGTAATTATTTCAGTTTATATATTACCAACCTTAATGACAAACAATCTCATACCTTCAAAACAAATCTATCCTTAGCAAATGATTATAAATTCTGTTGAAAAAATGTAAGGTTAAAAAAAGTGGTACCCTTATTCACTGAAATTTGAAGTACTGCTTCATTGATATGTGCAGTATCACTATGTAAATGTAAATAGAGAAAGGCAACAATTTATCACATCAACATAATCCCTTTCCAAATCCCTCCCCAAATCCCCCAACCAAACACAGCATTAAAACACAAACAAACCCAATCATCTTCTCACCAAAAGTACCACTTATATGTGTATATGCCATAAGCATTAGCATTAAAAGCAAAAAAAAAAACATTAGACTTCCAAACGTAACATTATTAGCAGGAGATAAAGTAAAAAAAAATTACGACTCCATAATGGAAGCAATACTCTATGAGAGTGAGCAAAGATTGCAGCAAAATGAAAAAATAATAGGCCCAAGAACACTTCACAAATCAGAGTGCACGATTGGAAACAAAACAGCCAACAGAGCAAGAAGAACAATCTCATTATTGACAGCCTCAAAATCAAACCGAAAACCCAAACTGTTACAAACCCAAAAAACTGAATCAATTACGAGAGAGAGAGAGAGAGAGAGAGAGAGAGTGAGATTACCTCTGTCAGTTGGGTCGCCTGATTTTTTTTCAGTAGCAAGATCTGAATCTTCTGTTACAAACCCAAAAAACTTAATCGGTTGCAGAGAGACTTATATAATATGATAATCCAATCCACAAAACAGAGAGAGAGAGAGAGGTTTTACTTTCGGGTATGGCAAGGGTTTTGGAGAGAGAGAGCTTCTCGTCCAGGATTGGGACCAAACTTTTCTCATATGGTGCGGCTGTCGGAGTAGCTTCCTATTCATCCCTCCCCAAATCCTCCAACCAAACACAGCATTAAAACACAAACAAACCCAATCATCTTCTCACCAAAAGTACCACTTATATGTGTATATGCCATAAGCATTAGCATTAAAAGCAAAAAAAAAAACATTAGACTTCCAAACGTAACATTATTAGCAGGAGATAAAGTAAAAAAAAATTACGACTCCATAATGGAAGCAATACTCTATGAGAGTGAGCAAAGATTGCAGCAAAATGAAAAAATAATAGGCCTAAGAACACTTCACAAATCAGAGTGCACGATTGGAAACAAAACAGCCAACAGAGCAAGAAGAACAATCTCATTATTGACAGCCTCAAAATCAAACCCTAAACCCAAACTGTTACAAACCCAAAAAACTGACTCGGTTGCAACAGAGAGAGAGAGAGAGATTACCTCTGTCAGTTGGGTCGCCTGATTTCTTTTCAGAAGCAAGATCTGAATCTTTTGTTACAAACCTAAAAAAACTTAATCGATTGCAGAGAGACTTATATAATATGATAATCCAATCCACAAAACAGAGAGAGAGAGGTTTTACTTTCGGGTATGGCAAGGGTTTTGGAGAGAGAGAGCTTCTCATCAGGGATTGGGACCAAACTTTTCTCATTTGGTGCGCCTGTCGGAGTAGCTTTCGATTCATCTTTCTTGTTTGTTGGGAATCATCGGCCACTGGGACTCTGCTGCTGCTGCTCTCTCTCTCTTTCGCCTGTCGTTGAGGAGGAAGAGGGTGGGTGAGATCGTTCTGTTAAAGTAGAAGAACAAAGAGTGAGAGAGAGATAAGAGGGACAGTTGCGAGAGAGAGAAAGAGAACGTGTAGAGAGGGAGTTTATAGCGATCCCGGGTTTACCCTTGTTGTACAGTGATCCGGACATGTGTCCGTAGATGTTGGTAGTTGTTTATTATCTAGTTTGCATCCTCTTTACGTTGTATATTGAGTTATAAGATGTGTTGGGCAGGTTTGTTACAGGTTGGTTGTGTTTGGGAGCCTAGTGTTGCTGCATAGATTTTTGGACCTTCGCTCGAGCGAGGAGTTGGTCGCTCGAGCGAGAGTCGAGTTCGTGTCTGGTGGGTCGAGCCAGAGTGGCTTTGCTCGAGCGAGTGTTTGCACCTGGTTCTGGACCTGAGAGTTGTGTTTCTTGGCTCGAGCGAGCTTTCTTTCGCTCGAGCGGTCTGGTTTGTTCTTCGCTCGAGCGAGGAGTTGGTCGCTCGAGCGTGCTTCTGGTTGCAGACCTGTAGGGTTGAGTTGTTGGCTCGAGCGAGCATTCTTTCGCTCGAGCGCACTTTTGAGTTTTTGGCTCGAGCGAGGGCTTCTTGGCTCGAGCGAGAGTTTTCTGTGTCTGGTCGCTCGAGCGACCAAGGCTTCGCTCGAGCGAGCGTGTTTTATATCAGCGGACAGTAGCGATTTTGAACTTCCTTTTTCA